ACACTTAGCCTGTGACGAGGAGAGAGTGGAAGAAGCGAAACTGCTGGTGTCCCAAGGAGCAAGCATTTACATTGAGAATAAAGAAGAAAAGACACCCCTGCAAGTGGCCAGAGGTGGTTTGGGTTTAATACTCAAGAGAATGGTGGAAGGTTAAGCAGCTTGGATGTATTCTTCCTGTGTATGTTTCTGTGGTTGTCCCCAGTGTCCTGGAAACTCATGTCCTTGTGCACAATCCATCGTCTGTGAACAATGAAGTGTTTTTGTCTTCAAAGTCTTATAAACGTGTCGGGTATTGTTCCTGCTGAGGTCTTTGTTCTAAGCTTACAACTAGCTTGCCAGGCATTGAATAACTGTTGAGATTGTTCTACTCTTGTTGTATATTATGCCGTACCGAATTTGGGTTAATTTTGAGTTAGTTGGTTCTGTGGCTTTGGTGCGTCTTTAGCACCCTCCCCTCTGAGGCAGAACAACCCCAATAGCACCAGGCTGTTTGTCACGTGTTTCTAAGTAGGTTCTTGAATGTTCCACTGTCCAGTTGAAACACATCCTAACTTGTCTCTCAAGCTCACTCAGAGGCCTATACCAAAAATTTCTGTTTTTTCAACAATACGCTTCGATCTTTTTGTTTTGGGAGGAATACGTATATATTTTAAAGGACCAAATTTTCAGTTGGAGGCCATGCTATCCAAGTTCAGAATTCCTAAACACTAAAATAATGAAAAATAAGAGCCTGTGTACCCATGTATCTTTTTAATGAGCTCTTTCCCTCCAAAATAAAATGTATTGTTTTTAAAACAGAAGTTTTAAAGTACCTACATTAAGTCATCCTGTATTGGGAAGAAATGTCAAACTTGTTAATGTGATATGTAACAAAAATGTATTTTGATTTGTATTTCAGAAACAAAAAATAAAATGTTGCGAGAATCTCCCAGTTTCTCTTTCAAATCAGTTAGGCATCCCATGTAGTAAGCCTTAAAATCCTTCATAAAGACATTTCTCAGTTTTGCTAGCTCTAACGTCAATAAAATTAGCGAAGCTTGAGCTGCAGCTAAAATCTTTAAAAATAGTAATCTTCTGAATTGCTAATTAAATGTGAGCAAAGAAAATAAGTGTAACCTTGATCTCAATTTAGGGAAACAACGTAAATGATTGCTATTGTCATAAAATCTAGTGAACTCCAAGTGACTCTTCAAATTATTTAATTTGAATCTCATGCTGCAAATACTGCTTGAAATAAGTGATCCTAGTGAGCCCACAAACTTGCATTAATTGTGGGTCAGAGACTTAATCGCCAGTAGCTGAAATGAGTTCTGTAAACACGAATGGTGTCATTGATAATGTAAAACCTTTACATAAATATTTTGAGTGCTGATCTTTACAAATGTTAATCAGGGAAGCATCTTCTTATGCAACTAAACGTTTGTTTATTGAATGCCAGGGATAGAATTGATGACAGGGGAAATAATTTCTTTCCAGTGGTTTTTAGCAGTGAACAGAGTAAAGTCCTATCTCATCTAATCGGGCCTGTTAGGTCTGAAGGCATTTACTCTTCATAAACACTGACTTTCTTGTCTGAGGTAATCGGCTTTTTGGGTGTGAAAGAAAACTGATCTTAGTTCTTTAATAAGAAACAGATGAAACCGAGCCTCAGTTAATTTGTAGGCTACTGGCATTTTATAAATATCAACTATATATTAATAAGGATATTAATGGCGCTGGATACTGATCAGATTGTTATCTGTTCATATAGGAAACCCAGTAGAGATGAAGGTGATTCAAGGTCAGCAGGTTTTATAGTTGCTTCCAAATGAACTCAAGAAAGATGAGAATTTCAGTTGTAAAGCTTAACTGAATATAAGCTGAAAGATGCAGGTAAATAGGAACAGTGGAAAAAAAAGTGTAAGTATCTCTGGGAGGGAATCCACAGTTTGAGGGAGTTTCTGTGATACTCAGGGTAAATCAGCGTTTTGCTTCATAATCTTTGACTTAGCAGTTTAACTGAATGACCCCTGTGTTCTGATTTCCCCATTTCTTAACTCTGTCAGCTACAGTGAGGTCATGACATGGCTCTGTCTGCTGCTGTTTCCATATCGTGTCACGCTGTCGAGCCCCCAGGTCAGTCGGCCGGCAAGTGTGATACGGTGTGGGGGCTCTTTACTTTGGGTTCTATGGCTCCAGCGTCACAGTTCTGACTGCCTGAAATTGCAAACATTTGTATGTCCATTTTTCCAGGAAAAGCGTTCTTTCTGTAGCTTTCACCAGATTCTCAGAGGGATCTGTGACTCCCCAAAAGGTTAAGAATCTCTGGTCAAGAGAAAAAAGTATTGAACCAATTAGCAGGGGATGTGGTTTTTACAACAGTATAGTTCTACCACACTATATAGTTTACAAACATTTATAATCCATTCTCCACTGCAGCCTTTAAGAAGGCAAAAAATCATCTCCCATGTTACAGTTGAGAAAATACCCAGAGCCAGAGGAATGGAGCTTTCCTGGATCCTGGGCCATTTTCTGTCTGCCTCTAGTCAAAAACTGGACCAAATGGAAAGTACTGTGGCATTTTGATAATAACCTGGTAGTTGTAGCATCTTCGCCCTCCCCCCACCTGCTTTTCTTTGGTGGTTTGTTTTTGGTTTCCTGGAACCTTTGGTAACATCTCTAAGCCTTTGCTTTGTTTTGCCTTGTTGAAACCAAAGCTTCAAAGACAAGATTATTGACTGTTGATTGGTTTGAAGCTTTCATGAGACGCTCTGACCTGTTTTCCAGCACATAGACATTGTAAAACAATCTTTTATTACTACAACTTTGGGTTTGTTTCATTGAAATTAATTTGTTGCCGTTGAAAGAGCATTACCCTGGGATCTAGTCCACTCGGTATAATGTCAGGCAGATAGATTATTTTCTCTCCTCACTCAGGGAGTCTCCTCTGGGGATTGGGTGCGGGTAAATAGGAATGACCCAACTTTTTAAACGTTTACCCCTTCCTGTCTCCCCAACTAAGAAGGTAACTCTCTTACTATCTCCCCGCTCCACCCCATCAGAGTCAGGAGTGGGCCATTGTGTGTGTTATGACCCTCACGTGTGCTGCAGTTGAAAAAGGTTGAGTGCTATTCTCCCAAAGCCCCCTCCTAGCTCTTCTAGCTTTTCTTAGTGAAAGCTCATCGAGCCTGAGTTACACAAAGGCCAGGGTAAGAGCTGCAAATATGAACTTCCCAGTGTGTATTGGGGGTAGAGGTCACCTGGTACTCTGAAGGCCACTGGAGATATCAGTGCACGTGATTTCTTAGCTATTGGTCAAGAATCACTGTGTTTTAGTCCCTTTTTCTCACAGAGAAAGGAGGCCTATAATTTGGAGGCCCTCCCCTGTGCAGTACAAATTCCAGCCCTCCTTGCCTGCTGTCAGTACACTACTGTTGATAACATGCAAGAAATTGTCATAGTGAGGCTGTAAGCTACTCGGGGACAAGAGGTAGCTCTAATTCTACTCCTCATTGTGTCACCGGCCACAGTACCTGGTTCATAGCAGCCGTTCAATCCATTAATACCCAGCGGATGACTGAATAAACAGATGAATTTGAGGAGAATAAATACCTACAGCCAAAAAGCTGTTCTGTTGACTTTAGCATATCCCAGTTGCTAAGTACAGAAACAAAGAGCTGAGGGAAGTTCCTGGAAGTCTTTTTAGGTAGTGAGAAGTGAATGGTTAAGAAACCTAGGATTTCATTGGGACCACCCACTTAAATTTTAACTCTCTACGGCAAAATAAACCCGGTAGTACCCTCTCTGAATGAGAATTATGCTGAAATAATATGAAGTTTAATCAGAATGTGTAGGTAATGATCCATTCTATTACTTATTTTCTGATCCGCCTTTGCTTGGTTCCCTTGTTGGAAAGCTCTTTAACATGAGCCCACTTTCCTGCCCAAGTAAACTTCAGTGAAAATTTTGTTACGATTTCATATTTTACAGGGTCTCAGGATTTATCGCAAACAAATACATGGTGTATTATGGATATGCTAATAGAAGACTGAGGAGACCGAGATGAAACTTGCACTCACCCCGAGTGGTTTACAAGTAGGTAGCGTAGATGATAACCCACATGGTTTGATGTGAGAAGACTCCTTTTTCCAGAAGTAGCTCCCCTCGGGATTGTTCTGGTGCTTAAAATCCCACCATTTAGACTCTTTGGATTAAGGAATTCCCTGTGTTCAAGAGTCCCCTTTCAAAAGGTAAAATACTCAAAAAAGAGCTCGTTCATTATCAATCCAAATGACATCACCGGATGATAAAAGATCATGGTCACTAGACAAGAACAGGTCACACAACAACTGCTTTTAAAATGGGACCAAGGGAGGGGGGCTGGAGGGCCCAGTCCATTGAGTGTCCAACTCTTGATTTCGGCTCAGGTCATGAGCTCAGGGTCCTGACATTGAGCCCCACATCCAGGCTCTGTGCTCAGCGAGGAGTCTGCTTGGAGATTCTTTCCCTCTGCCCCTTCCCCCCACTCGTGTGCATTCTCTCTCTCAGATAAATAGATAAAATCTGTAAAAAATAAAGCGGTTGCAAGGGTAGAGGTAGGTCCTGAGCAATGAATTATGCCTGAGGGATGCAGAGCTGAGTGGGTCACTGAGCTAGTAGGTGCATGAGAATCCTGGGTGTTTAGAAACTAAGACGCCGGATGGCCCGGAGGGGCACTGAAAGGAAAGATCCAAAGATACCGCTTCAGATTAACCTCGCCTACTTCCCAGCCTTGCCCAGCTAAGGTTTCTTCATGGGCAACATGTACTCTCTATTTTTAAATCTGGACTTTCCCTTCCATTCCTGTTTGATTTCGGCTTAGCTTCCAGGCTATTGAGATCGTTTTGAGTCCTACAACATAGTAATCATTCTCCCCAGGAGGAAGGCATTCACACATTTGTTAAGTGTCCCTTCTGTGTTTTTATCTAAGTCACTAGTTCTTAATCTTGGATTCAGGGAGTCTGTAATTTACCTAAAACTGTACATGACACTTTGTGTATATAAGCGTTTTTCTTATGGAGAGGGGGCCTGAGTTTTCAACAGATTTTCAAGGTGATCCATGACCTCAAAAAAAGTTGAGAACCACTAAATCCAACTATTCATCAGTATTTTGACCAGAACAATGCTAATCAGGACAGAGTTCTGTAGGATCACCAAGAGTGACTTCCTTCCTGCTCAGTACTGATCCATCAGAAATTTGGGGGTACAGCTATTGAGTATTATATATTAGTCTCTTCTTGTGATTCGCCTCTATTATAAAAGTGGAAGAGAAAAGTGAATTCCAGCTACTTTGGTGTTCTGGTAATTGAGATTTTTACACTGCTGGTGTTTAGTTTTTAAACTTTTAAATATTAGATCATTCTCAAAACCTTCATCATTTTGCTTACTGGACCCATCAGACAATGTGTATCATAATACTGTATTTAATGCGAATGGAATTATAGATGCTCCAAAAAATCCCTACAATTGGCTGAAAATGGACACATTAAAGAAAATACCTAAGTAAAAGCTTGTTATTTCTCTCCATGGCTCCAGACAAGTGTAAATGTTAAGTTCAGTCTACCTTAAAACCAATAAAGGCTCTACCTCAATTAGTGTATAGGTATGTTCTCTATATAAGGGCTTCGCAGCTTAAGAAAATCCCCTACATGAAAATCGGGATGTGATAAGTTAGAGATTCATTACTTCATTTAAAAAAGATTCACCTTGAAGTCAGACACAAAACAAGGACAGACTGTATGATCGTATTTATACATAGTCCAAGAAAAGGCAAAGCTAATCCCTAATGACAGAAAGCAAATCAGTGGTTGCCTAGGGCTGGAGTGACGGTGGGATTGCACAGAGGGGCATAGGAAACACTTTGGATTGATGGAAATGCTGTATTTAAACTGTGGTGGTTTCATGGGCATATACGTCTGTCAAAACTCACCAAATGGTACACTTGAAATGGGTGTGCTTTATTGTATGTGAAGTATATGTCGATAATGTTAATAAAAGATTTACCTTAGGATCATTCAAATACGATTTTATTGAGTATTTATTGAGCCTCAAAATAAGATTTACATCTGATTACACAAATGAAAAAGTCTACCTATAAATTTCTTCAAGGTGGAATGTGGGGAAAATATGATCAATGGGAAAAACATTCTAGCATGTTAGTTAATATTTAGCATTTATACAAGAATGGTATGTATTAATGTGGACTATCTCACCAGTGAAACAGATTAATTAGTTCAGATTATCTAAAACAGATCTTAAGTGTTCATTCAGAACACTTACCTATTCTGGCCCTTCTAAAGTAGCATCAGACATAGTGATAACATCTCATTAAAAGCTAAATTGTACATCACCCATGATATCAACATTTTGTGGTCACCGAAGGAACATGTTATTTGGAATTGTTCGCCTGTACATTATCTTGCATTTAAAAATTAGGTGATTTAAAAATTTTGCTATGCTCAAGCAAACCCTATAGCAGGGTGGTCCCTTGGGAAATCTAATATGATAATTTTAATTTTAATATTTTAAATAGGTACCCATTTTAATATGTACCCTTTACATATTCTCCTCTGGAATTTTTGAGGATTTTTTCCCCCCAATCTCAGAGAATGCTGGCAAATTCTTGTCTTCGTGGCCAATGTGAAAATGAATTAGGGAAGCCCTGACCAACTGATCTTAGGAATAACACTGAATCCAATTAATGCCACCTTGTCATGTATGCGTGCGGAATGTAACAGAGTAGCTGAAAATAGAGAAATAAGATTTTCCAAAGTACAATGGAGATATCGCTGCAAAACGCTTTCAACCGAATTAGAAATCACTTGCTTTGTCATTAGTCACGCTTGTGTGTCAGTAAAAGTGTAAGTAACGCAGGAACCCTTGCATTTATCTTGACTTGTTTATTTTGGATCCATGGTAGGAGCACCTTGTTAGAAGAGGGCAGGTCAGAAGAGAGGGACGTGGTGGGAGATTGATTAGGGCAACTCCAAATGCCAGTAATGGGTTCCTTACTGATGAACACTGTACTTAGGCTAGCAGCCTATGGCTTATTCACTCCCTTTGCCCTGTCACACAAGGGCTCCATTACAATCCCGGGCTCGGGCTCAGACTCCGGCTCCGGCTCGGGCTCGGGCTCGGGCTCCAGCTCTATCTCGAGCTCAGGCACCGGGACAGGCTCCGGCCCCGGGGCAGGCTGTGGGGCGGGCTCCCGGACAGACTCAGGCTCGGGGGTAGGCTCGTGATCTGGCCCCAGGACGGTATCGGGGTCATTCTCCCGGCCAGAAGGTGGCAGAGTCGCTTCTAGTTGGAGAACGTGTTCGGCTGGCATTGCCTCGAGCTCTGTACTCTGGTTTACCTTTGTCATTGGTCTGCAGGAAGAAGGCCCAGGGAAGAACGAGTTAGGGTTCAGCATTTCACGTGGAGCCCTAGGCTCTGTAGCTTCAGTGACCACAGGTTCCAATCTGTTCAGGACCTCTGTGATGTCTGAGATTCTGACTCACTGTCACACCACGCGTTCGTCTTCGCTCCCGACCAGAGAGGTTAGGTCTCGACCAGAGAATGAGAGTCCGAGACAGAAAAACTAGGGTCCCAAAGCTGGTTAAAGGAGTTGAGAGACATAGAGCTTAGAGCAGAGTCTGGCACACGGTGGTCGGGAGCTGGTAGCTGCCACCACCCGTTGTTTCTAGAAGCAGTGAGGGGAGCAGAAAGACACCTCTGATATGTTGGTCTAAAGGGGGCGCTGAGGAAGAGCTGGTGAATAGATCTGCGCCTGACAAATGTCAGCGTTCAAGTAAAGACAACAAAGTAAGATCTTACTCAAGTTCTGTGCTGGTTTTTGAATTTCTCTTCCTCTCCTTCCCCTTTGCCTTGGCCTTTGCCTTGCTCCTTGCGAAGCATACAACAGAGATGATAATGGCAGCACCCACTAGGGTACCCACCAGCGCCCCAATGATGATTCCAACTTCTGGATCTAGAAGAAACAAGCAGCTGGTTGGTAAAGTGGAGCATACTGTCTGCCCCACACGTGTGCATTTGTGACCAGTGTGGAATATCTGGAGCCCTCATACAGTGGGGGAAATGACTTGTATAGGCTGGAAACCCCTAGAACTCTTGCCAGTTGGACTCACCCTGGCTCAACTGTGGAGCTCACCCATTCACACTGATACACATAAAGAAGACATATGCCAACCTGGGGGAGGGGGGCGCGGGGCTCACTTTCAAAACGGGGCTGAGGGAAGTGAGTCTTCAATGGGCCTCTGCTTGATCAATGAAAGAGACACCACAGAGCTACAATCTGGTAACCGGAGAAAGGACTTCTGATACAGGCAGGGACATTTCACCAGGCTTATGCGGAGCCTAGGTGAAGTAGGTCCCTATAAACCTCTCCATCGGATGCCATGCTCACCAAGGAACCTCAGGCGTTCTGGCCACCGGAAAAGGATATGCCCATTTCCATAAACAGGCATCTGCTCTATTCAATCAGTCTTTGGAAAAACTCAGTGAATGTGCGATGATCCAGCTGAGCACCAGACCTTCCGCTGTCCCTGGGAGACCTTCCCTGAGTTCCAGTGGGCCCATCCCCACCCGCCTCCCTTCAAACAAGGCTGCAAGGCTGGACATTTTATATTTTGAGATGAGAGGCTAGTTGAGTTGCCTGGTCATTCTTTCAACTTTTTATGGTTAAAGGAATCCGTGTGCATGATTTGGAAAGTCTACGAGACTTCTAGCAAAGAAGCAGCAGTCCCCGTCCCTGCTCCTCCCCATCTTTGTGTCCCATTCTCTAGAGGCGACCACTCTTAACTTTTTTTTTTTTAATCATCTGGTATTTGCCCCCATGTTTCTATTGTGCTTGTTTTAACTTTCCAACTTTTGTCATTTTTTTTTGATGACTTCCTCCCCTGGAACGGTGGAGATTGTCTTCTTACTCCACCCCACTCACATGTTCTGAGTTTATAGGTTCTATAGCACAAACTGTAGTGACATCAAAGTCCACAGGATTATGACCATGTAAATATCATTCACAGCTGCAGAACATAATACATCCTATGATTCTTGGTTTTTATTTAAGAATTTTTTTTTTAAATGGTCTCCACGCTGGGAGCCCAACTCAGGGCTTGAACTCACAACCCTGAGATTGAGACCTGAGCCGAGATCAAGAGTCAGACGCTTAACCAACTGAGCCACCAGGCGCCCCCCATATTATTGTTCCTGTACATTTAAAATTTTTCGTTGAGGTTAATAATTGCCTCATTTGGGGATTTTTTTAAATGTATAACTAGTAACCCCCAACATTTTCACCAAAACTGTCAAAACTCCTTTCAGTAGATTTAAACGCATCAGATAATCTATCGGTTTCTTATGATTTTTTCCCTTGGAGACATCCCTTCTGGAACCCTCCATCCTCCTCCCCCAGCGTGGACTAGTTGCCCTCCTAAGCCTGCTGCTGTAGTATCATCATCCGTCAGCTGCCTTTCACCTCCATCCCTGTTTTATAGATAAAGAAACAGGCTTTGCAAGTCCTTTCAAGAGCCAGCTCAAATAGCACTTTGTCAGTACAGCTGGCCCTGGCTTTATAAACATAATTAGTTGTTTCTTCTTTAGGGTCCTAGAGACCCTGTACAGATGGCTATTCTAGCATTTAACACATTTTACTGTTTGTCCCTCTAACTAAACTGAGTTCCTTGAGTGTAAGACATAGATCTTATTAATCTCTGTATCTGCATCATCTATGATAGTTCCTGGCATATAGTAGATGTCAAACTAAGGTTTGAAGGAGGGAGACAGGGAAGCAGGCGGGAAGGGAGGGAGGGAGGGAGGCAGGCAGGCAGGCAGGCAGGCAGGCAACCAAGTGCCAACATCATTTAAAAAGAGTATTTGGGCGGAAGCAAGGCTCAAATACAACTCCTGAGTCTCTACAGGTACAGTATAACTACTGGAATGCAAAATGGGCCTGGGGAAGATACAGAGAGATACAGCAGAAATGATCAAAGGACTAGGGGGAGAATGAGACCACAGACGAAGACCCAAAAGACATCTCTTCACCTTTGAACAGAAATTAGGTGAATGAAGAAGAAGCCTGGAATTGGAAAATGTTTGATTCGGGACAAGTGAAAGGAAGAAAGCTTAGCTTCCTAGGAGAGCAATGGTCCAAGGGAACTGGCCACCTGGATACGGTATGTATTAGTCACAGATTCAAAGTGAGTTAGGAATAATGAATAGATGACATGATCCTAAGTGTTATTAAGGGATCATTCAAAGATGTGGCAAGGGGCGCCTGGGTGGCTCAGTCAGTTAAGCATCTGCCTTGGGCTCAGCCCCACGATGGGATCCTAGCTCAGCGAGAAGCCTGCATCTCCCTCTGCCTGCCGCTCCCTCTGCTTGTGCTCTCTCCCTCCCTCTCTCTGACAAATAAAATCTTTAGAAAAAATAAAAAGGCATCCTGGCCCTGCTAGTCACTACCTGGATAACCTTGGGAAAGTCACTTATCTCCTTGAGTTTCAGTTTCCTTTTCAGCAAAATGAGGCTAACAATATATTGTGCCTCCTAGATGGGGTGGTTGGAAGATTGAGTGAGATAATGCTCACAGCACCCGGCCACATGCCTGGCACATAATTTGTGCTCCACAAATATTAGCTACTGTGGTTGTAGGTACAAGTGTTATTATTACTATTATTAGAGGCAGATCTTAACAAATTGCAGAAGAACTGGAAAGTCTGTGAGCTCCATGTTCAACATAGATCGCCGGTTTCCCCCGGATTCACCAACAGCATCACAAAGAAAATCCAGCCTGTTACTATCCATGGGGCTGCTGTTTTATTTATTAAATAGTAATATCTACTTTTTAGAAATTGTGTGAGGGTTAAACAAGAATTTTGTAAATGCTTTAGGGCAGTGTATGGCACACATTAAGTATCATGTAAGCATTTAGATATTAGGATGGTAATAATTCAGCATATCAACCTATAAACAAACCACCAAAATCACCAGAGAGGCAGGAAGGACTAAGCAGGGATCCTAATTGATTCACTTGGTTGGCAGGCCCAGGATACTTGACTTAAGGAGAAAGTGCGTTAAAGTTGGATGATCAACTCACGGGAAGAAGTTAGATCAATTTCGCAGGAACTGTTGCCAAGGTTGTTGCTAGCCGTGCACTGGTAATAACCTTGTTCAAAACTGGTCAGATTTCCAATAATCAAAGTCCCAGTGGCTGGGTCTGTCAAAAACAGGATATAGACTTTTGAAATCTCTTATGGTGGGTACAGATCATGTCATCATAGCTGAATCACTCCGTGCCCACCCACTCCCTCACATTGGCCCCCCCTTTCTTGAGCTGTCCAGGGTCCCACTAGACCCCTCGGGACTCTTCCAAAGGTAGTCCACCTGGGAGCATGCCTCTTCCCTCCAAATCCACCACCTCTAAGTGAGCCAGAAACAGGCTTGACTACTAGAGGTTGGGAGTAAGACCAGACCACAGTCATCTTGCTAGGAGATCTGCTTTTTCCCTCCCCTTCCCAGAAGACTGAGCTCTAAAGACGAGCAACCAGAAATACACACGTGCCATCCGTCAGCCAACCACACACACCAGGCCTTGCCAGGGGCTGCAGTGGGCTGGACTTACTGAAGTTTTCTTTCACTGGGATGATGTCTCCAGCTTCGAGTTTATACCAGTAGTACACAGGGGAGGGTGTCCCAAGCACAGAGAGGCAAGAAAGAGATATCGGATGGCCAGTTTCTGGGATTCCTTGGATGCTGCAAAAGGGCTTAGAAGGTTTGACTGTAAGGCAATGACACAGAGTAAAAATGCTGCAGGGGGAGTTGAAACCTGTCACAATCAGCAGCCACTTCCTACTGTCATTTTGTAGACTGCCATGCTGGGCGCTCAGTTTTGAAAGCTTTATGAACTTCCTGTGACCGTTTTCCGATTGTACCGCCAGGTGGGAGTAGAGCACTGCAGGTTCAAGGACCTGCCAGGCACCAGGCCATTAAGATTCTAGCGGCATCTCTTCCTCTTCCGTCTGCCTGCCTCCCCAGATTCATGACCATGAATTTCCACATTGTGTCTTAAAATATGCCTTTATTAAGACAGCCAAATGTAAGCAAACACTAAATGACTAAGGACAGAGTTTATACATTTGAAGCCCAGTTTTTAGGGAAAAATAGAACCTTTAGATACTTTGAGATTAAGTTGTTATTTATTCTTTTTACAACCTTTGTTTTATCAATGCTGTATCTTTCCTTTCCTTCAGGAATCACGTTTGGGCATTTGTATCTCTGGGGGTGGGTGACCCAAAATTATTGGAGGGTCTGAATTGGCCTGCGTCCCTCATCGGTCAGGGAAGCCCATTTTGGAGGGGGTGTGCTACGCAATGCTGAAATCTTTACTCACCTTTCACCCCTTCTGTGTGCCTGGCACTGCACTAGGCACTGGAAGTGCCCAAGTAATGTCTGAAGTGGGAGATGAGGCCAAAGAGCTGCAGAAGCTACAGCTTGGAGGGCTTTGTATTTCATGTATTTTACACAGATGGCAAGGAGGACCAAGGAAGGAACTTAAGTAGGGGAAGGATGGTGGTCATCCTTAATGCTTTAGATGGTTGGCTCGCACGCTGGGGGTGCCTGAACCAAGGGAGAGGAGGAGGCAGGATCAAAAGGTCTCAAGGAAGTAGATTCGATGGGACTTGGTGGCCAAACGAATAGGGGGCATGAGGAAGAGGGCACAGGCGGTGATGGCTCCCAGGTTTCTGATTTGGACAGCTGGGTTTATCCCAAGATAAACAGGGGAGGGGCAGGTTTTCTGGGACAGAGGGAGGAGGAGAAAGGGGCAATGATACCGTCATTTGGGGACATACTGAGTCTTAGGTGTTTATGAAACATCTCTGTGGGAGGGGTCCTGCGGGAAACGGAGGATCTGGATCTCCTCATTCATCTTACTGCTCACAGCTTGTTCTAAGCCTCGTGTCACATATAGACAATAATCTGAATTTCAGTACTTACCACCTCACCTTGCTTATCTTAACTTAGGTATAAAACCCTTTGGAGGCAGCAGTGAAGAGCACAGCGCTGGCTCCACCCAGACCACTGTCTGCAGCTTTACTCTGGGTGTGTTTAGGCAAGTACCCTCACCCAACCAAACCTCAGCTGACTCATCTGTATAAATGTGAACAAGAGGCCCGAACAAGAGACTGTCTGGCCTCTGACTAATCCACACACACTGAATTTAGGTAAATAAAATGATGTCTACAGTGCCTCGCACACGGAATTGCTCTTGGCCACAGGCAGGACTAATTTCTACTGCCACATTTTATGGTTTTCTACTGAAGTTAATCTTCCGGTCTCAGACTCTAACCCGCTGTACACAGGAGCGAGGAGACGGAGATGGCTGTAACTCTCTGAAACCCTGCACCATCCCTATCTTTTAAACAGGTGGTTTTAAATTAAGTATTTTTCAGGACGCCTGGGCGGCTCAGTCGGTTAAGTGTCTGCCTTTGGCTCGGGTCATGATCCCAGGGTCCTGGGATCGAGCCCCGCATCGGGCTCCCTGCTCTCCGCGGGGAGTCTGCTTCTCCTTCTGCCTCTGCTGGCCGCTCCCCCTGCTTGTGCTGTCTCTGACAACTAAATAAATAAAATCTTTTTAAAAATTAAGTATTTTTCCCTTTAGCTCTTTATTCTCTTTTCCTTACCATTGATTTTCTCGGATGGGGACATCTCATTCGATTTGCTTCCCCTAAGCTAGGCTATTTAACCAGAAGTCCATTGCAAGCATCACTAGATTTAGATACGGCCTGTTTAAAACCATGATGACTTGATGGCCTTTATAGAATTTTGAACAGAAATTAGATGGGGGTGTTTCTAGAGCCCAGAATCAACCCCAGCTTTTTTTTTTTTTCTGAACACAGTTTCCTCCCTTTATTTTTTATTAACAAAACACTTAGCGAATCACTTTGAACCACGTCCCAAACCTATATATATTTTCTACAACTACTGAATCAGGATTGAATTGACATTTCATCCAGCTAACGACCCCAGTAGAACTTGGATGTTTTACTGGCAAAGCCATTGATCTACCATTTAGCATTATTGCTTTCAGCAGAATGGGGGTAGGAGGGAGAGGCTCACTGCAGAAAAATCAATGAAAATGAAAATGCTTCATTGCCCAAGCCTTCCCTAAATTCATCATTTTCTTTTTAGGTGCCAAATCACAGAAGGAATATGATGCTCATTCCAAATGCATACAAAATAATTATTCAAACTTCTACCTGGGTATTTTTCAGAGATGCATTTTCCAAGGCTGTCATACCTAATGGAAGCCTCTCAAATGAATGGTCGTCCAAACCACCTGGGCCTTTGCTCATAGCTGTTTCCTTTACCTAAGTCGTGCCCTGCCACCTCTGCCCCTATTCTCGAAACTTTTAGAGGGCTGAAACCCTATCTTTTACATCTTTCCATCTCCGTTGTGTAGCACAGTAACCAGATGTGTGTTCAGGATTCGTTGAATGAATTTATGCATGAAGGAGTGGGATCTACGTCCATCACTGCATCATGGAATGTCTCTGGGCAATGCACTGCTAGGAAGCGTGGTCACTAAGGAAATATCAACACCTCTCCCCACAGTTGGCCTCCCTTACCCCCTTGCCCCCACTATGCCTCAACCCTCAGTCAGGGCAAGCGGGACAGACACTCATAGGCCATAGAACTTGAGAACTGCAAACAGCCTCTGCGATTTTTTTGAGAAAATTATCAGTCTCAAGATTTCCAGAAAGCATGTATCTGTACAAGGCCTTGGTTCTTACCCCAACTAATAAAAATAGAATTCTTGAGAGTTCCCAAACAAGATAATCCACAGATTCTTCTGCCTTTTACCTTGCCTGGATCCTGGATGCTTAAGGAAAAGTCATGGCATAGTCATTGAAGGAACAACGGACCCAAAGACTCATGGGAAAGCAACGTGAAGAGGGAATGACTCTCAACTTCTTAGGATTCTCTGAGCTTTAAATGTAAGAATATTAACCTTCCTGTCTAACTTTAGCTCAGAGATAAAGAGGCTTGGCTTGGACAACCCAGAGCCAGGGAGCAGCAGGAAACCATGAGAGGACTAATCCCTCAAATGCTTTTAATGTGGAATCTCCAGTCTATCGTTTGATCCTCATAACAAACCTGTGAAGACAGGGCAGGAATTACAACTCCATCTCAAAATGGCCAGAGAAAAGTGGACTGACAGGCCCGAGGCCACTGAGTAGCAAAATACGAACTAGAACCTAAGCCTTTGGACTCCTCGCATCTGTGCTTCACTGTTTAGTTCCCAGGTAAATGACCAGTCTTCCAAATTGGAACATCAACTCTCCCAGGAAAGGGTTTGTGTGTAATTCTCTTGTCTTCTCCCTGTACCCCAATACCTAGCATGGGGCTCAGCAAAATAAACGCACGATTGAGCTACCCCACTCTTAAAACTCAGCTCCGGACTACCTTTTCCTCCTTTCCAGATGAGGTTGGGGCGTCACCTGGGAGGCAAGCTCGGACAACTCTGGACGGTTCTCCTAGGTGTGCACCTTTTACTAATTGCTGCTTTTCCAAGCCAGTCAATTTTCAAGTCACTGGTTTGATCTAGTTCCTCCTTTCCTGTGATGGATGTACACAGCTTGAAAGGAACAATGACTAGATCGGCTCCATTTGGGATCACTTAGAAATGGGAGAGCCCTCAGCTCAACTGGTTAATTGGTGAGGGTTGACAACTCTTTCCTCTCTCCCTTCAGTACTTCTGAAGGCCTGCAGATAAGACCTTGCTAGGCCTCCAGACAGGAGCAAAGCTCCCATTGCCCTCTCAGAGATTGGAAGGAGTGCTAGACATCAGCAGAAACCATGCCTCCATCATTGTAAACTTCATGGCTCCTGGCACAAAATAGGAAGCACTCAGTAAATACTGTATAAACGAACCACTCCAGGTGCATTTGAAAAGCAGATACGACTTGCTGAATGTCACATAATGAATATCTGTGCCCATATTCTCAACTGTGGCTTAACCTGTGGTCCTTTTTCCAGATAGTGCTAATATTTTTAAAAGGGACCCTCCTGCCTTTACTCAAAAGAAGGATTTCATGGTGGGAATTGTGGCTGGCTTAGGAGAGATCATAAATAGACAGTTATAGGACTGGCTCTAATCGGAGGTTCCCTCCAGTTGCTAGTGATCATTTAGTGGGGATGGTATGTTGTCCCATCTGTCCCCATTCTACCCTTCAGAGACACGAATCCCCGGAGATTGGGTCATCTTCTGCTGTCGTTTGGGCAGCACTTATGGTTTGGCAATTGTTTCAACATGTTTTGTGAGTGATTTCTCAGTGTTACTCTAAGGGCTGGGCTGGTGGTGTGTCTCTATTTCCCCGACAAGAAAAGGAGCAGGGAGGATATTTACCCCCTGGGACTTAATTAGCACCATAACTCACTGCCCTGGCTCATTGCAGGTCCTAAGTTGTTCCAAGAAGAGGGGAAAAAAAAAAAACCACAGAAAAAAATGCCCATACCTAACACATTGACTTGGAGGATGCCTTGATTCTTTCCGGCAAAGTCAGGGGGGTTGTTAACATCACAGATGTAGACACCACTATCTGCTGGTTGCATATGCGAAATGGTGATAGATGCGTTATCTGGATCGTTGGACCCTACAATTCGATCTTTAAATTGCCCGATGGCTACGGCTTGTCCACCTTCAGAATAGTAAATCTAGGACAGAAAAATGGCAGAAATGAGAACTAGAGAGTGTCCAGAGCTAAGATAAGCTACCCGGAAGCACCCTCCATCTGACATTACCTTTGTTGGCAAGAGGCAACATTCCCACCCACCCCCTCCCGCACGGAACAGATCCCATGGCAAAGCGGGGCGGGGGGGGGTCTCAATTCAGTGGGGTGTTTTAGCTTTCTCACAGCTGGGGACAACCACCTCCTCATGTGAGCGCGCAGCCCTTCTGTGATGTCATCAGAGCAGGGACGTGGGCCGATCTTAGAGATGATAAACAGGCTGGAGCTGACAGGGTTCAACTGCTAAGCTTAGGCTAGATCAAGATGCTCACCTGAGGAGTCTACCTGGAGGAAACTCACTGTATAAAACACAAATGCCTGATGGGAAAGCCAAAACCATCATTTTTAACCCCACTTTATAAACTTTTTTTTTTTTACTCAGTGGGACTACGGGACTATTCAGTTTCCCTAAGAGTTAGAATATTCGTACTCCTTTCATACACACCTACTCCTCTGGATAAGCAAACTCGGGTTTATCCTGTTTGTTAGAAGAGTCGTATTTCAGAGCAGAGAGGCCCCTGAGTAATCATTTGGTCCCATCCCCTCATAGTGGCCTAGGAAATGCGTCGTCAATGGCGGCTCCTCCCTTTCTCCCCATGTGGCAGGGGGCAGAACTGGAATTATTCTTTCATTTGGGCAAATAAGGGCCCTCAAATCCAGAAAGATTAAATGACTCATCCAAAGTCACAGGCTTCATTTATTATTACTACGATTCACCACACTCAAGGAAGATCGGGGTTCTAGTCCCATCTCTAGTAAAGATCATGAATAGTTAGATCATAACGGCAGCCGTGGGAGCAGCATGGTGAGGTGGAAAGAGCCCTGGTCTAGGAGTCAGATGACCTGGGTTTTAGCCACAGCTCTGCCTCTGACTGTGACATAGGGAAGGTGGGGCCTCCGGTCATACCTCCATGGCAACCTGCTTTGTGGTGAGAAACAATGTGATTTAAACTCTCCAACCTTTCGTTTCCACATCTGAACGAGGAGCCAGAGCAATGTCCTCCAAATTGAGATGTATTCCCCAGGTATAGGCACATAAGCTGATTTTAGGTGGTACATAAATGAAAACTTGCTAGAAAGACACATATCTTGCATAGCGCATCTGTGACTTCATGGGTATTATCGCTTAGGGTGACACTAAGGTAGATATTTAAAAAATTTTAAAAAACCAAGTCACTATAGAAAATGACATTAAACAATACTGCTGGTGACACACAACTATGACAAAAATCATAAAGGTGAGACATAAAGGACTGAAGCTTGGAAATCACTGGACTAGGTGATCCCTGAGGTTTCTTCATCACACACACACATCCTACACACTTTGTCAGTTTCATATAAATGTGTGTCATTCAAGTGATGGTTTATTTTTTAATAAACTGGTATCGCCCTAGTCCAGTGGAACTAATTAATGTTTTCATAAAATCTACTAAAAGGGCCTTATTCATTTAATTCACTCTCCTTACTTTCTAGAGGAAGCTGAAGCCCAGAGAGGTTAAAAAAAAAAAAAAAAGACACACACACAAAGTTAAGTGAGGAAAGGTCTAGAACCTGGTTCTTCTAACTCCTTGTCCAGTGCTTTTTACCTTAATAGGATAATGAGAGAGGAAAGTCAATCAGCAAACCAAAAGATATGATCAAGATAAATTCAGATATATCCTCCTCCAAATCGAAAGCCAATATAGTTTTAAATGAAAGCAGAAAGGTAGATTCTGAGGGAAAATTCAAAGACCATATTTAAGGAGAAAAAAAGTTGTCCCTCTCCTCCGGTTGTCTAACATCAACTAGCTTTCTTTCCTGCCCCAAGTGAGCCATTTATAATTCAATTTGTCCATTCACACCTACTGAAATCACCAACGTTTGCCCCAAAGAGGTCTTGTTGGACTTACAAACCGGAAAGCCAATGTTAACTGAAGGTATTCAAGGGGTCCAGGAGGAGGTTCAGCTGGTCAGAGGTCTATTGCCTTCCTCTGAGTTGACACCCAAGCTATTGTGCTTTCCATTTCACTAGCCAGCGTGGGGCTTATTTACTTGCTAATCAACAATCTGAGGCCCTGTGAACTCTTACCTGGAACACAGCCTGCAGGCCATCCAGGAAGCTCTTTTACAATGTAGACATCTGGCTGCTTCCCCTGCTCCCAGGAAGACTGGGGGGTAAGTCAGCCTGTTTTATGCTGAGGCTTGGCGACATCACAATGAGATACATCAGTCCTGCCTGTGGCCCACAGTGAGTGTCAGAGGGTCTGGGAGAAAAGACCTTGTTTCTGCCCAGAGCAGGGAGCCAAGAGAGTGTGTGTTTTAGGCCACGACTAGAACATGCAAAGAAGCCACTGTAAAAGTCTCACCTTTGGTCATGAATTCAGGTGAAATGAGCAGATAAGTTATGAGGCCCTGGACTTGTAACTTGCCTCTAAAAAGGACCGTTCCCAACCCTTCTACCCTCACTCCTCACACCGTCCCCCCCATATATCTTGCCCTCTCACAAATAACACTGAAGGGTGTCAGGGATAGGAATGGAGCTAAAGAGGGATAACAAAGGACACCTAAAAGGGAAAGGCCTAGGCCTGAGAAGGAAAGTCCCCAGGGCTAGCCAGTGGCCAGACACACAGATGGAGGGACTTTCTGTTAGGGGAAGTCCAAGTTGTCACACTGTCCTTGTAAAGAAAAAAAAAAAATAGAAATGTTTTCCTGAAACTGCTTATCTAATCACACAGGAAGTACTGAAACGTGGTGCCATTTTCCACAAAAGAATAACTCTTTGAAAAATCAAAGCTGAACAATGGCCAAGACTCAGCCCATGATCCTGTGGGACTTGTACCTTTTCAAAGAAAGTATATTGTCAATTGAGAGATCAAAGCAAATGAGGTCCAGGAAAAGCCATGGATGTTCCATGGGCCACACATCCTTTGGGGTGGGGGGACAGGGTGGCAAATCTGCTTAAAGAAAAATCCATCCGAGTGTTCCCTTAAGTGGTACTTGTTAATTTGTTGCCCACTTGCCCTTCGTGGCTGCCCTACTCCCCGCCCCCCAGCTACCCTCTGCTCCTCTGTGATGATAGAGGCTGATATGTAGAGTCATAATGACACATTAGTTATAAGACCCCCTTTGAGATCACTTCATTCATGGTTTCTAAGGTTGACGACTCTTCAGGAGCCAGATGGATATTAGAAAGATGGGAACTAGCTGAGAGGGGCTGGTGGATGGTGGTAAGACCACAGAGGACAGCGGGACCATGGCGAACCGGAGAGCCGACACAAACAAGGCTTCCAAACTGTGGAAACAAACAAACAAAACACTGGGCTGGTCAACCAACATGAATCCACTGGTCTATTCGGGCCCAGAGGCCGCCAGTTTGCAACCTCTGATTCATCCTCTTCGATAACAGAAAAGGACACTGAGGCCCCAATAGAGGAAGTGATTTGTCCAAGGTCACACAATTTATAACCAGACCTGGAATCCAGACCTGATTCTCCCCGAATACACGAAAATAGCACTCCTAGGGCGCCTGGGTGGCTCAGTTGGTTAAGCGACTGCCTTCGGCTCAGGTCATGATCCTGGAGTCCCGGGATCGAGTCCCACATCGGGCTCCCTGCTCAGCAGGGAGTCTGCTTCTCCCTCTGACCCTCCTCCCTCTCGTGCTCTCTATCTCTCATTCTCTGTCTCAAATAAATAAATAAAATCTTTAAAAAAAAAAAAAAGAAAATAGCACTCCTAGTCCTGCTTTGGCGGGGGGCGGGGGGATCCCTAGGTAATCTTTCCCAACCCTTTTCCTGCTGATTGCTACTATTCATTGGCATGGCGCTGCCCATGCCGAGTGGGCCTGCCACCTGATGCCTTCAATGTTTGCCAGCTGCGACAACAGCCTCTCCCCTCCTATGGTGCCAAGTTCCTATTCACATGAGGCCATGCAGCTGGGAGCCAGATTTGTCCAAAAAGATTTTTTTTTCCCCCTCAGCTTTGTGACACAGTTCTCTAACCAGAGGCTGGAATATAAACAAGAAGGGTTGAAAGAATTCAGTCTGCTTTCTGTTTGAGTCTGAGTTGGAATTAATAAATGCATTTAGCCTCCAGAGCTGCTTTTGTGGGTTCCTTTTGGAAATGTGGAGGGTGTGGAAACCCACAGCAAAGCACCCATTCTTTCCCTTCAGCTTCTCGTTTTCCTGCACTACTCATAAAGGGGCTAGCTGTGGGAGGGGAGGTGGGGGGAAGGGCAATGGTCTCAAGCCCCGCACTTTTTCTGGACTGTTCTTGGGGTGGAGGTGGGGAGCTGAGATTGCACATGGAAGGGAAAGAACACCAAAAGATAGACATCCCTGCCTTCAAACCACTCCCTTCCCAGCCTGCCATTTGCCCCACCATTTGAACTGCTTCTTTGGGGTGAAGGCATGGAACAAGTCTACACTTAAAGGATTTTCTTTGGAAGAGAACAAAATAAATTAGCATCACCAGGCCCTAGCACCTCAGCGTTAGATTGATTGATCAGGTTTAGCAAGAAGATACACCTGAGGCCATGGGATACAGAATAGATAAACTTTGATGGGAGGGGGTGGTGGGAAGGGAAGAAAGTGGACTGTTTCTCCATGGGAGTGACACTGGTATTTTGGGCAGACCGTTCTTTCTCCTGTGGGTTTAGCCTGCATATTGCAAGACATCTAGCATCTCTAGCCACCACCTACTAACTGTCAGCAGTGACTCTCATTTATAACCATTACACCAACACCCCCTTCATTTTCAAATGCATGTGAGGAGATGGTACACTCCCACCCTGCCAACATTTGGAAAGCATTTGATATAATGCTATCTGAAGAGGACAGTCCAGGTGGGGAGAATTTGAACAGCCAGAGAATACGAAGACACTAGGTTCTAGAAGGGAGTTGTCCACGTTAAATGTATGCTGGGGAGATGAAAATGGCAACAGGTTTCATCCACTACGGATGTTCTAGAAGAGTAAGTATTGTCTGCGAGACCCATGCTAAGTAGGATCAGTGCCAGTTCTGTTCATGGGCAGGTGAGTTCTCTTTAGTTTTACCAGTTACTGGCTGGGTGGAAGAGGAGAAAATTGGTGTGATCAGAGGGGCATCAAACTACCCAAAACTTCCATGCTAGCCTGCCTGTTCCAGGGCCTAGAGTCTTCAGCTGAAAGTCCCTGCTGAGGGACTGATCATCTGAAACTGTCCCTGTCTTCTGAGAGGAGGGCTTCTCTAAGAGGAGGACCGTGCTAATAAATGCCCTGGCCCTCCTGGTCAGAAGACTTATGGGATACTTCTGCAGTCCCCATTCACCAAAGGAACCCCTTGGAGGGGACAGTCAGTAAGTGATAACACTCTCCCCTGGGTATGGAGAAACACTATGCCTTGGAGTCAACTGCTCCTTTAACACAATGATTTTTGGGGTAGGAGAAGAGTACGAGCCTATGGCAAGACCGGGCCCCTGCCCTGCTCGAGACAGCAATAAGTCCCTGAGCCTTTTGGAGGAGGCTGAAAAGAAGTCCAGACATGGGCGTGAGAAGGCAAACTCAAGACCGTCCCAGTTTTGCCAGGAGCCTGTGCTGATTTGGACTGTTACCAAACTTGGACCATCCAATCCCACTCCTAAAGGCTGGTGCCATTGCCCTAGATATTGCAAACAATGAAGGGGTCCAGTAGTACACCAATTGGTGTTCTTACCTGAGAGGTCCAGCTACATCTTCCCCGAGCGTCTCTTGCATGCGCCATATTTAGACACTGACTGACTGCCTTTTCCTCCATACCCTCAGTATTGAGGCACGGGCTGTGCTGTGTTTGAGCAGAAATGGGTGGGTCTGAGAGCTGAATGCTACATGATATACTGCCACATCAACCCAGGAGTTGAATTGAATCACTCAGTGATCAGTCTGGCAACATCTTACTGCCATAAATCAGAGAATTGTCTAATAGCACAGCAGTCTCTTTTTATCATCCCCAAAATGTTCACCAGCCATTCCTAGATTAGCATACAACATGCTCTACAGAATTCTGAATGCATGGAAGTACTCAAAGAAGAAACAAATTCGAAATAGAGGCCAAATCCCATTTTGAAAAATACCATCTCAGCTGAAGATGTCTACAACTTCTTTGTTGAGCGGACTCTCTGTTCAGGGAGAGGAGCAGGCAAAGAAGGCTAACCCCTCCCTTCAGCCACGGAAACCTGGCAGGCGGTGAAACAGGAAACTAATCCTGGGCCAGGACTCCCCCAGGAGCTCTGTCCCAGCTGTTGAGCTACACTAAATGTCTTTGTTGGGCTGGATCCCTAGCGCCCATGATGCAGGGAGTGTGGATGGGCTAGGGGTTTTACAAAATCACCATTTTGTAAGTAATGACACTACTAATAATAGCTCACATTCGTTGAATGGCTACTATGTGGAAGACTTCCCAGTGCTTTACAAGCATCATCTCATTTAATCTTCACAGTAAACCTATGAGGTAGGTAAGTAGCCCCACTACACAGATGGGAAAACTGACCCTCTGAAAGGTCAACTGGCTTGTCTAAGGTCATCCAGCCAGCAACTAAGTAGCAGAGCAAGGAGTAGAACCAATAACCATCAGGAAGTTTCCACTGGTGCTCCAAAACTACTCATCTGGAAAAGCGGAGAGAGAAGCCCATGCCTGCAGGGTATGGGGAAAAAGGTGAGAGCCTCCAGTTCTTTGGAGGTAGAGACCTAACGATGGTTGAAATGGGGACCTTGCTGGGGCAAGCTGAAACAAGATGGAAAAAGAGAAAGAAGAGAAAGCTTGGCTTTTTGGAGGTGGTTTTCACTGTCTCTAAGCCAAGAGCTAGACCACCCACCACCCACCCTGTCTCCTATGCAGCTAAGGCACAGGCATAACCAAGGTCTCATGCATCAGAGAAATATCTAAAATATTTTAAGATCAAGAAGCATGTTCTCACTGAATCAGTGGCTCAGTGCAGAGGCGCTCCTTTGATTTGGACATCTCAAAAGCTTAGATACCTTAAATTACTTGCCTTGCCTGTACCTGAGATTTTGAAGAATGAGGCAAATGGCAAGTAAAGAAGCTACTCAGTAAATACATACTTGTTAATAAAGTTTCTTTCCAAAGTGCCTCTAACAGATGTCCTGAGGTCAAGCCACACCCCGTTTGATCACCTACACCTTCTGGGCATCTCCAGGTCTAGAAAAAACTCATTGCTGGTCACAAGATCCTTCTGCCCTGCATCTCCCAACTCAGAACTACTTGGTTCAACCAAGAGATGGCCTTGTAAATTCCAGTGTCAGAGGAGGCATAAAGAACAATTTGTATTTTTGAACTCAGGTTGGCCTGGCCTCACTTCCAGGCAGTCGAGGACATCTGGATTTGAGTACCACACATAAAAATAATTCAAAATATATTGGCAAGGTTTCTCTAATTTCAGCCCCTACTGGCTAAATGGGAAGGACTTCAAGCCTACAGATAAAGAATGCACTGAAAAGACTATTCAGGAAACTGAATTTTAAAAAGGAAGAAACTTCATGTGATTATTGCCATCCACAATACAAGAGAGCAACCTGCAAAGGGATGATTTCTCGGTTGATTGCAATATGTGAGGTCTTGGGTCAGGGCATCTGGGTGACAAAAGGAGGTAAAATCACTGTTGTTGTTGTTGCTGCTGCTGCTTATGATGATAAAGGTGTTTACAAGGGAGAAAATTTACAGGCCTTTATATTTTTCCCAAGCCTTTTCACATGCAGCATGTCAGCTGATTCCCCATGAGATATAGAGAAGAGCATTAGCATTCCACCATGTTTTGAAGAGAGGCACAGAGTGATTCAGACGCATGTCTGAGGTAACCAGTGCTAAGCAAAAATGTCGAACACTGACTAGAGGGTGGCATTAATGAAATCACCTCTTGAATGGTGTTTCCTGCTACAAAAGTGTTCAGAACCTCTGGTAAAGAGAGGATCTAGCACCTCCGAAGGCCCAGAGATGGCTGAAGCCACACTGGCCAAGGTGTGGCTCTCCAAGCTAGCAGCCTCCTTCTTCTCTACCTCTGTCCTTCAACCTCCTCTAGTCCATTCAGCTCGCTCTCCATTTTTCTACTAATCAAAACCCCAATTCAACTACATCCAACTATTCCAAACCATACTGATTTGTTTCTTCTCTGAACTCCTTGTTTTGGATCATATTATCTTTTTGAAAATCTGATGAAAGCTATAGGCCTTTTCCCTTAAGGGATATGTGTTGGCAGACATGTTGCACACTCATGCAGACTTCTGCATGCATTCTCTCTCTCTCTCTCTCTCTCTCTCTCACACACACACACACACACACACACAATTTTGAGTATATAATTTTTGTCCTTGGGCCAGATGAAGAAAACCTGAAAATAGACAAGCTTACAGGTAGAACATTCTCCTTTGACTTTCACCCACTTCCTTCGAGCAACCTCTGACCCTTAACCCCAGCCTATCTGCCCTGTCCTCCACCCTCTAGCTTCTTGTTGCCCTTGATTGCTCAGGGTTTATCACTACCTTGGCCCTTCTCCACCCATCTGGGAGTCTCATTCCATCAGGATTCATCTAGCACAATGAGCTAGCTCACCTGATGGGCAGATCCCAGATACTACATTTGACAGAGATCTGCAGATCAAGTACGACATGTATTTGAACTGGGGTCTTCTGGAAATAATAGCGAGATTATTTGGGGGGAGGAGGAGCCCTTTCAGAACTACTGCTTATTTCACCTAGGAGAAGGACCATTCCTGTCTACTCTAGAAAACATGATACACCGGATGCTGACCTACTCAGATTTGAGATAACAGGCTATAACTGAATATGGAGAGAGGACAAAGGCCACATCACATACATGATGGTCTTCCCTAAACAACTATCTTCAAACTCTTTGTACCTGAGATTCTGCCACTGTTGTCACTGGTTTACCACTCCTTCACACACTGACCCCAACAGTTTATGTCAGAACTACCACAGGGGAATAGTTGAGGAAAAAAATCCTTACGGAAGCTGGCGGTAAGTCCTTCTTGTGGAAGAATGACCACTGGATTGAGAGCTTGTCCCGGGAGGCCACAGTGCTGGTGTAGGTGCAGACAAGTGTAGCATCAGATCCAACGGTCACGTTCACAACACTGTTTGGGATGGTCACCTGCACCATATTAACTTGACCTGAAAAAATAATCATCAAAAAGAAAATGGTACACTCTCACATTCTGAGGACGCTCTTTCATTACAAAGCATTTTCAATGACATCTTGTTTGAGGTATCCAGGGTGAGGAGGAGGAGGTAGACTGAACTGTACAGGAAAGCTGAGCCAGCAATTGGCATGGGGGTAGGGGAGTTTCTAACAAATTACAATGTAATGAAACTCAAATCCTATGTGATGGTGAGGTAATAACACCGAACTGCTAATTCTTCTGTATAAGGATGGCCTTAAACAGAGGTTCTTAAAATGTTGTCCAGGGACCCAGAAAGGTCCATGAATATGGGGAAAAACTAATCCAGGTTGCCCAGGACTAACAGATTTCTTGGATGTGGAACTTTCAGGTTTTTTTCTTCCAAGTTTTTATTTAAATTGAAGTTAGTTAACATATAGTGTAATATTGGTTTCAGGAGTAGAATTCAGTGATTCATCACTTACATACAATAACCGGAGTTCATCCCAGCAAGTGCCCTCCTTAATACCCATCACCCGTTTAACCCATCCCCCCACCCACCTCCCCTCCAGCAACCCTCAGTTTGTTCTCTATTGTTAAGAGTCTCTTATGGTTTGCCTCCCTCTCTGTTTTTATCTTATTTTATTTTCCTTCCCTTCCCCTATGTTCATCTGTTTTGTTTCTTAAATTCCACATAGGAGTGAAATCGTATGGAATTTGTCTTTCTCTGACTGACACATTAGCACATGGACTAGTTCTGTCCATGTTGTTGCAAATGGCAAGATTTCATTCTTTTTGATGGCTGAGTAATATTCCAGTGTGTGTGTGTGTGTGTGTGTGTGTGTGTGTGTGTGTACCAACTCTCATTTATCCATTCATCAGTCGATGGACATTTGGGCTCTCTCCATAATTTGGCTATTGTGGACATTACTGCTATAAACATTGGGGTGCATGTGCCCCTTAGAATCAGTATTTTTGTATCCTTTGGATAAATACCTCATAGTGCAATTGCTGGGTCATAGGGTGGTTCTATTTTTAACTTTGTTTTCCAGAGTGGCTGCACCAGTTTGCATTCCCACCAACAGCGTAGGAGGGTTCCCCTTTCTCTGCATCCTTGCCAACATCTATTGTTTCCTGAGTTGTTATTTTAGCCATTCTGACAGGTGCGAGGTGGTATCTCATTGTGACTTTGATTTGTATTTCCCTGATGATGAGTGATGTTGAGCATTTTTTTCATGTGTCTGTTGGCCATTTGTATGTCTTCTTTGGAGGAAATTTCAGTTTTAAAACTGGGTCTCAGGCAAATCATACTGATTTTGCTAGGATGTTCAGTGCTTAAATCAGGAAAATCTCAGGAAAACCAGGATGAGTTGGTCACCTTATCCCTAAGACCATTTTGAGAGACTTTAAGATCAAAATGATATTGTATATTATAATAATTATTAAATTATTGTATTGGTAACTCATTGCCATTTATTGGTTAGGAATATTCCATCTGTTTAACAATTCACCCATTTAGGAACATCTAGGTTGTTTCCAGGTTTTAGCTGTTGGATAAAACTCTGATGTACAGTTTTTTGTGGGAACATAAATTTCTATTTCACTGGGATAAATTCCCAAGAGTGCAATTGATGGGTCAGATGGTAGTGACATGTTTAGTTTTATTAAAAACAAAAACAGGGGTGCCTGGGTGGCTCAGTCAGTTGAGTGTCCGACTCTTGATCTCAGCTCAGGTCTTGATCTCGGGGTCATGGGTTCAAGCCCCATGTTGGGCTCCACACTGGGCAAAGGACCTACTTTAAAAAATACAAAAAGCAACAAACAAACAAACAAACTGAAAACCAGCCACATTGTTTTCCAGAGTGGCTATACCAATAAACATTCCCACCAATAACATATGAGTGGTCCAATCTCTCCACCCCCAGTCTCTCAACACCCATTCTCTGGTGTTGTCACTACCCTCTACTTTAGCCATTATAATAAGTGGGTAGTAATATATCATTGTGATTTTAATTTGTCTTTCCCTGATGCAATTTATTGATGCTAAACAACTTTTTATGTGATAATTTGCCATTTGTATATCTTCCTCAGTGAAAGGCCTGTTCATATCTTTAGCACATTTTCTAATTGGATTGATTATTTAATTTTCAACTGGTGAATTTGGAGAGTTTCTTTATATAATCTAGATTCCAGTCTCTTCTTGGGTAGAGACAGTTTTATTTCTTCCTTTCCAATTTATATGCTTTTTATTTCTTTTTATTACCTTATTGCAATGGCTATAACTTCCAGTACTTTACGTGTACAACATGTACATAACATAATTCAAAACATGTTAGCTGTTAGGTTATTTGTAGATGCTTTTAATCAAGTTGAGGTAATTCTCCTTTGTCATGGGTTAAATTGTGTCCCACCAAAAGATATGTACAAGTTCTAATTCCTGATATCTGCGAATGTGACTTTATTTGGAAATAGGGTCTTTGCAATGTAATTAATTTAAGGATCTTGAGAAGAGATGATTCTGGATTTAGGGTGGGCTTTAAATCCACTGATTGCTGTCCCCATAAGAAAAAGGAGGGCGCCTGGGTGGCTCAGTTGGTTAAGCGACTGCCTTCGGCTCAGGTCATGATCCTGGAGTCCCTGGATCGAGTCCCGTATCGGGCTCCCTGCTCGGCAGGGAGTCTGCTTCGCCCTCTGACCCTCCCCCCTCTCATGTGCTCTCTCTTTCTCATTCTCTCTCTCTCAAATAAATAAATAAAATCTTTAAAAAAAAAAAAGAAAAAGAAAAAGGAGAGGGAGAGGGAGACTTGACACAGATACACAAAGAGAAAGGCCATATGAAGATAAAATCAAACACTGGAGCATTGTATATACACACAAAGAGACACCAAGAATTTCTAGAAGCCAAGTAGCAGAAAGGCACGACAAAGATTCTCCTTCAGAGATTTTAGAGAGAAACAATATTGCCAAAGCTTTAACTTCAGACTTTCAGCCTCCAGAACTGTGAGAGAATAAATTTCTCTTGTTTTAAGCCACCCAGTTTCTGGCAATTTGTGACAGCAGCTCTTGGAAACGAACACACCTTTTGCTTAACTTGCTGAGAGTCTTTATCATGAATGAGTATTGAATTTTGTCAGATGCTCTTTCTGTATCAATTGATAGAATCACTTGCTTTTTTCTTTAGCCAGTTGATATGATAGATTACACTGAATGACTTTGAGTGTTGAGCCAGCCTTACATACCTGAAATAAATCCCAATTGGTCATGGTGTAGAATTCTTTTTAAACATAGTAGGATTCAATTTCCTAGTGTTTTGCTGTGGGTTTTTGAGTCTAAGTTCATGAAAGAATTTGGTCTATAGTTTTCTATTTCTGTACTGTCTGGTTTTAATATCAGGGTAATACTAGCCTCATAAAATTAGTTGAAAGTGTTCCCTCCTCTTCTATGTTTTGGAAGAGATTGTGTAAAATTGTTGTTAATTATTTTTTTAAATGTTTGGTAGAATTATCCAGTGAAAGTATCTAGGCCTGGGATATTTCTTTTTCAGTAGCCTTTTAAATTATGAATTCAGTTTCTTTAAGGGTTTGGGGATATTCAGATTATCTACTTTATTTTGGGTGAGTTTTAGTAGTTTGTTGTTTTGGGGGAATTGGTCCATTTCTTCTAATTTGTCAAATACATGAATGTAAAGTTGTTCACAGTATTTCCTTATTATATTTTTAGTGACTTCAGGATCTGTGCTGATATCCTATATTTCATTTTTGATATTGGAGATTTGTGTCTTATCTCTTTTTATTTTTACCAATCTTGCTAGAGGTTTGTTAATATTATTAATCTACTTTGTTCGAAGAACCAGATTTTTGTTTCATTTAATAATTTTCTTATCTCAATTTCATTGATTTCAGCTCTTCATTACTTCCTTTCTTCTCTTTGCTTTGGGTTTATTTTACTCTTCTTCCAGTTCCTAGAAACCTCAATTATTGACTTGACACTTTTCTTAATTTCAAATGGAAGCATTCAGTGCTATAATTTTCTCCCTCAGCACTGCTTTAGTTGCATATTACATATTTCCATATGTTATGTTTTCATTTTAATTCAGCTTTATGTATATTCTTTAAATTTCCTTTCAGATTTCCTTTTTGGTCCATGGGTTATTTAGAAGTGTGCTGTATAATTCCCAACTGTTTAGAGACTTTCCTGTTCTCTTTCTGTTCTTGATTTCTAGTTTGATTCCATTGTGCTCAGAGAACAGACTCTGCATGATTTTAATTCTTTTACATTTGTGGAGGTTTTTTTTTTTTTATGGCCAAGCACATATTCTATCTTGGTAAATATTCTGCGGGGGCTCGGGGAAACAAGTGCATTCTGCTATGGTTGGGTGAAGTGTTTTATACGAAGAGATATATTTTCAAACATTATGGGGACGCCTGGGTGGTGCTGTTGTTTAAGCATCTGATTCTTGGTTTTGTCTCAGGTCATGATCTCAGGGTGGTGGGATCAAGCCCAATGTCAGGCTCCTTGCTCAGCATGGAGTCTGCTTAAAGATTCTGACTCTCTCTCTCTCTCTCTCTCTGCCTTTCCCCCATCTCTCAAATAAATAAATCTTAAAAAATAACCCACTATGAATACTCACCAAGATAGACCACATTATGGGCCTTAAAACAAATCTTAACACATTTAAAAGAAGAGAAATCACACAATGTCTGCTCCCAGACCACAGTGGAATTAAAGTAGAAATAAATTAACAAAAAGATTACTGGGAAGTCCCAAAATACATGGAGATTAAACAACACACTTCTAAAGAACACATGAGTCAAAGAAATCTCAAGAGAAATTTTAAAATATTTTTAATTAATGCAAAGGAAAACACAACTTATAAAAATTTGTGGGTATGCAACAAAAGCGTCACTTAGAGGGAAATTTGCAGCATTGAATGCACATATTAGAAAACAAGAAAGATCTAAAATCAATCACGTAAGCTTGCACTTTAGGAAACTAGAAAAAAAGAACAAATTA